ATACATACATACATACATACATACATACATACATACATACATACACACACATACATACATACATATATAATATATATATATGTATATCTAAGCTTAATACATCTTCTTCAAAAGCTGTTTGGCTACAGGGCCGACCAAATGATTTACTGATAGAGGATAGTGTTTAGCTTCAGAGAAAATAAAAAATAATTGAAAATCTATTTCATATGGTAGAGCTATTCAAGAGAGACAAGAAGAAAACATTCTGGAAAGACAGGCCAAATAATTGCATTTGGAGTTTGATTTGCATAGTTCTCTTAACTCAGATGTATGGGTGTGCATAAAGTAATAACAAATATGTGATACAGAGAAAAATGAATTATGGCTGTCACTGGAAGCTTGTAATGTTATTTATTAGCATTTCGTTCCACAAGAGTACCAAAACATCGCTCTTCGTTATTTTTGTTGCTGTTTGTGGGTTTTTTAGAATGTTGGTAGGAGATGTTTTAACATGTATAATATTCATCTATCACCTTTCAGTTACACGTTTTCCATGTGATGGTGGGTGTTACATAAAACTAGACCATGTTTGCTACCTTCTGAAAAACTTTGGGCGAACAAAAATATTAAAAGCTGCTGTGCATTGAGTCAGACTGTGAGTCCTCCTCATAGGGTTGATGGAGACACAACAAATCTCCAGGATTTCAAGCAGTTTTCTTCAGAGCTGAAAAATGGGAACGGCCTATTAAGCAAAGAGGAAAAAAAACTTCATTTAAACAACATACTCCTAGGGTTGACTGCAGCTGTACCACAGCTGGTTTTATGGCAAGAAAGTCCAGTTGTCTCCCGAAAAAGCACCTTTGGGAAAACCATGACCTGGATGACTGAGGATCTCTACAGACTTTACAAGTTTAGTGTTCACCAATGACAATTGCAAAAAGGGTCATAATCGACACAACTGATCCTTTCTGCAACCATCACAACTTAAAACCATGATGTGCAGGTTTCATTATGGTCGTAAATCAAGGACTACTTGTAATGTGCATTTATTGTATCTTTGACTGGACTTACAAATTCAACCATGTTGGTACCAAGTTGAGAACAGTCATGTATCAAAGGCATAGGTTATTTTATTTTTATTATTTGTCAAGCATGTATAAGATAACAGATATAAGTATAAACATGATTATGAATACATGAAATGGATGCGAATAAATGGGGACATTAGGACAGGGATGGTAGGCACTTTGATGCACTTATGATACCCCTTACAGACCTCTTAGGAATGGGATGAGGTCAACAGTAGAGAATCTACTTGTTGTAGACCATTGTGGGGGTTTGGGGAAGAAACCACAGAGTCAGATAGTGCATTACAGNAATTCTCCAGCCAGCAGAGCAGAGCTGGCTGGAGAATTCTGGGAGTTGAAGTCCACAAGTCTTAAAGTTGCCAAGTTTGGGAACCACTGGGCTAGTCCTTGAGTTAACAACCACAACGCAGCCCAAAAGTTGCAGAGGAAGACAGTTGCTAAGTGAATTACACCCCATTTTATGACCTGTCCTGCCGGGGTCGTTAAGCCAATCACAGGAGTTACTAAATCAATCACATGGTTTAGATTAGAGTTGGTTTAGATTAGAGTTGGAAGGGACCTTGTAGGTCATCTAGTCCAACCCCCTCCGCCCAAGCAGGAGACCCTACACCGTGGCTCGCTCCCCATTAACTTGGCTCGTCGGAAGGTCGCAAAAAGGGGATCACGTAACCTAAGGATACTGCAACCATCATAAATATGAATCGGTGGCCAAGCTCCAATTGTAGAGATGGTACGATGGTCGTTAAGTGTAAACAAATGGCCCTAAGTCACGTTTTTCAGTGCCGTTGTAACTATGAACAGTCATGAAATGAACGGTTGTAAGTCGAGAAAGCGTTTCCACCCGTTTCTTCCGTGAAAAAAAAAATCCATTTCCAGAGCAACACGGCCTCCGAAATGTTGTTCCCATTATGAGATGGAAAAATATTAAATAATTATAATCAAATCATCTTTTAATGACCCCATAATCCCTTGAGGGGTGGACTCTGGACAACAGAATGAAGCTGAGTGTTTCCTGGCCAGCTGCCTTTCCTGTTGCCAATGCGGAGTTTTGTCCAGCAGATACTTTCTCATTGTGCCCAGAGAGAGAAATATCTGCCTCTACCTAGGATGAAACTCAACAGCCTCCCCTGATTGTGAGGCGACAGCGCCACCTATAGGCCACTGCACAACTCCAAATAATTATCACCAAATAATAAATATAAAACAAAACATTTGAGAGAAAAGTGCTTCCGATTAGACAGAAAGTTGACAACAATTTGCTGAGGGAAGCAAAATTTATCAGGGTTTTTTCAGCTTTTAATTTTTTTCCCCAGCATCCAATTATATATTTTTATTTATTTAACATTAGATGTTCGGATCATATTTTTTTCTTGTTGTTTTGTACACAACTTTCGCTACTGTTACCGTTGGATGTATGCTTTTTCTTTTTTTTTTCCTTCTCTTTTGTCTTTTATTCCCCTTGATAAAACATTATATATATATATATATATATATATATATATATATATATATATATATATAT